TAGAAGAGAGAGAGAGAGAGAGGTAATGTAAACGAGGATTACCTCGATCAAGGTCTTGTCGACAGTAAGCTTGTTAAGGGTGAGGGTTCCAGTCTTATCACTGCAAAGGACATCCATGCCGGCCATCTCCTCAATGGCAGTCATCCTCTTGGTGATGGCACCTTGCTCTGAGAGCCTGTGGGAACCAATGGCCATGGTAACAGAGAGCACAGTGGGCATGGCAATGGGGATTCCACCAATAAGGAGGACAAGGAGATTGTCAATTCCATCCCTGTACTTCCTACGCTGAATTGGGTACATTACTATGATCTCCACCAACATTCCCAAAGCAATTGAGCAGATACAAAAGTTGCCAATTGCTGTAAGAACCTGAAATTCCCAATACAAATTGATATTAACATTCTTTCCTCCTATAGTTTTTTACATGTTGTTTCATTAAAGTAATTATGGGTGTAGAAATAATAATACTTCAGCCATTCTGCTCTATTGAGGTTCATACCCTCAGTCAAACGATATGCTCGGTCCCAAAACAATTTCATAAAACCCATTTAAATTTATATTAGTAGTTTTATATACTTCATCTCACCTTTTGGAAGTGACCAACTTGGTTAGTAGAGTCGACGAGATGTGCAGCCTTCCCAAAGAATGTGTGGACACCAGTAGCAATGACAATGGCTTCGATTTCACCTTGCTTGCAAGTGGAACCAGAGAACACCTCTTCGCCAGGATGCTTAGTAACCGGAAGCGACTCACCAGTCAAGGCTGACTGATCGATCTTTAATGGATCGCCCACCAAAAGACGAGCATCAGCTGGTACAATGTCTCCCAACTTTATGCTTATAACATCACCAGGCACCAAGATAGCAGCCTCTTGCTCACTCCACCTCCCATCTCTAAGAACCTGTTAAACTATCACATCATTACTGAGCCTTGGCAAATTGATTTTTAACATCAACAGTTGAGATGATGCTAGAAAGTTGTTTTCAACAAAGCTTATAGTGCAGTATAACTTGTAATTTTAGATCATCGGGTAGTTGAGATGATGCTAGAAAGTTGTTTTCAACAAAGCTTATAGTGCAGTATAACTTGTAATTTTTAGATGGGATGACTCGAGTCAACCTGCCCAATTCAGCTCCCATGGGCCTAACCAACTGAAGGTCCCCTTTGTGCCCAAGGGAAAAGCAAGTAATATGAATGTTAGAGATGGTGATACGTAAAATCACCATGTAAATCTTTGTATTTTTGTGGTATATGTGTTTTTCATGCTTTATTTCTCATGCTTGTATTATTGTTTGTAGTCTCGCTCATTTGGTTCTAATCAGTTAAATATAGAATCTTAGAGGGAGCCTGATATTAGGGGTTCGTATTTCTTAATATAAGAGGGGTTTTGAAAACTAAAAAGTGGATTAGAGCTTATTGTTCAGCACAAGACTAGGAGTTTGTGCATTCATTCAAAGAAAAGCACATGGCAAAATATGAGATTGTTTTGTTTGAGTTGGCAAAATATGATGGTTAACATGATCTTCATCAACAAAAATAACAAATAAATTTATTTGACAAAAAGGAAGATATTATATAGCTCTATAATGGATGTTACAATGACGAGAGATGGTGATAGGCAACAGCACCACCCCATAAATCCTACCATAAGTAGGGCTTTATATAAGTGAATGATGTCAGTCATAATCTAGTTGGACTGATATATTTCAGTGAATGATGTCAATCATAGAAGATTAGTGAATGATGTCAGTCGAGAGAGGGGGTCTAAAAGGGTCGCTCATTTGTGATGTAACTCTCATCAGTATAGTAGATTTGTTTGTCGTGTATGCAGCTTTTTGGGTTAAACTTAATGTTATCAAATAAGCTTCGCTTCAGCGGAAGAGGCAGAAGCCTTCGGATTTTAGGCATAAACTGAAGCGAAGAGAAGCGTGGTGCTGCTGCTTCGGTTAGATGCGGGCCCCTTCAGACAGGTTCGAATTTGCTTTGGTTAGAAAAAAAATGCCTATATAAAAAGTATTTTTTATTTTTAATTTTGTTCTATTATTTTTATATATAAAAGTCTGATTTATTTATATTAAATTAAAAAAAATCCAAAGTCTTTTCCTGAATCGACTGAAACACCGAATTACTTCATTTTTCTCATCAAACCAAAAAATATTCCAAAGTGAATCTGACAACATTGGTTAAGCCACGTAAATCTTTGTGCTATTGTAATGTACTCGATGCTTTACTTCTCATATTTGTATACTGGTTCATATTTGTTGTTGATTTTGTTTCTAGTAAATTATGTACACCATCCCAGTAGAAATTCAATATTAGAAGTTCTTCTTTCCCCATATTTGAAACCTAACACAAAATATCTCCTTTTATGATCTTAACATCCTACATGAGCCTTCTTTCTACAAATATATGCAAATGAAGGAAAGTGTATCAATATACCACCAATACACCACAGGTGTATGGTATATTCTGCCTACCCTGGTCCGTGGGCTGATGTATTCCTAAACCAATAAGTGTTTGGGCTTAGTACACGTTATGCGGCGAAACTCTAAACGATTCACAAAAGGGTGCGGTTTGTATGGAACTGAGGCTCTAAACAATCAAATTAGAGCCTACTTTCAAATAATATTGAAAAATGTGGTTTTAATATTAAAAATCTTTGTGATCACTTTAAAATATATTTTTATCTCTAATTATGAAATTTAAAGCTTAAAAAATAGTGTAGATCGAGTAGATCTATGAAAACTTGAAAATCTTGAAAATTGACTGTCCAAAAATGCGTTACTAGATGCACTATTTCCAAAACTAAAAATTTATTTATTTTTCTCAAATTATTGCGTAGGTGCACCTAATTGGGAAGTGTGAATGCTAAATTTCAAGTTAATCTAGTTCGTTAAATAATAATTAAAATTAAAAATATTATGTTAATATAACTGTCTATTTTTTTCCCTTCTAATTTAAACATTTAGGAGTTGAACCGTGGGGAAGGTGCTTGTGCACCATTCAAGCATCCACATGTGGATTCCTGAACTTTTCATAAATATTTATAATTTTTATAGAAAAATATAGTATAGATCAGTCAGGATTACAGGTCCCTACTTATTTTAGTAAGAGTCAGTGGTTTTCGAATGCATCAGTGAGCATGGAATTCTAAACTATTAGCTAAAGGGAATCGTTATGCTACCACCACGATCCCAATCCTATTCCCTAGTATTCTCCATTAGTGAATAGAATTTGGTGCCCATCAGAATGGGATCCACCCTCCGTTTCTGATCACATGTGGGGAAGATCATCCATATTTCCTGACACTCGATCAAGTTAATCCCGACCATCGGTCATTGCAAGCGGACCATTATGGGTGTTCTATACTATACGATTCACTGTGGATAATGTCTATATTTAAGGATTGCATACAATTAAGCTCTTTGCATTACCAGGGAACTGGAGTGTATCATTTCTCCACACAGACTCTGAGAAATTTTTCTGACCTTGAGCGCGACCAATGACACACAGAATCAGTGGTATTTGTATCAAGCTCCGAAAATCTTATCATCTATTTTTTATAGTGTTAACGGAAACAATTACTTTATGTTTACCTCTCTCTTTCTTTTTTCTTTCTGTTCTTTTTGAGCTTCTTTTCTTTCTTTTTTCTCTTTCCTGTATCCCTTCATTATCTTAATGAATATTGCACTTGCTCAAAAAAAAAAAAATGGAAACAATTACTTTACCTTGGTTTTTGGAGCAAGACCAGCCATTAGAGCAGCTGCTGCATTTCCAGCATTGTTCTCTTCAATGAAACTGATGGTGGAGTTGATGATCAATAGAACAACAATGCCCACAAAGTCTTGCCAATCTGGTGGCTTCCCCTGCAAATTTCCAATTACAAAATTTGAGTTTTAATGTCATATCTCTTTACTTAATATTAATACTGAAATCAGATGGCTGTAACTCCAAGTCATAGCAATATAATCACAGGGAAGAATTATAAAGTAGTAAATACCCCTCCATTTGCCAGAACAATTGCCATCAGAGCTGCCACTTCCATGACCCATGATAAAGGATTCCACATGAAACCCAAAAACTTGAGAACCTTGCTTTCCTGTTTGCCAAAAACCCCAAGTTTGAGTGAGGACTGACAAGGAAACCATAATTTTTTTCTTTTTTGTTAATCAATGAGAGATGAGAAAATTTATCTATGAAACCTCTTTGAAATTTATATGAACATGCATAAATGTCAGTATTGAGTGAGGTGAAAAGAATTTTAGTCTAAGATGGTTAAAATGGTGACATCTTAAAGCTTTTTTGACATTAGAACTTGACAATTTTCCTCTTAAGCACCAAAACAAATGTAGGAATACCAAGCAAGAATTCCACCCAAGTCTCTTAGTGGGTCTTGCAATTAAAGGGGTGTAAGATTTTTATTTTTATTATTTTATTTTTTTAATTTTTTGGGATAGTTTAGTGAGAAAAGAGTTCCCCATCAAGAATAAGAATGAAACTTAAGACATCAATTTATGGTGCCCTGCCACCCTGACCATCTAGCCTTGAACCCATTCTTAAGGGTGCAAGATTCCTATTACTCATTTTCTTGAGTGTTCAAGATTTCTAATTCTTAAAATAAAGGATAAATTAAAATAGAACCTACTTAATTTTATATATCGTATGGTGAATAGAAACATGTATGGGCCCTTATCCTCAGTGGTCAAAGTGGTTGAACCACTTAACATGTCAAAAAATACGAAATGAAAAAGAAAAAAAAAAAATCATTTAGATTTATTATTCCTATAAAAGAAGAAAAAAGATTGCAAGGATCCATGCTCTATTAAACATAAAGTTAAAGTTTTCGGTGGATTATTAAGCTAAAACAGGAATAGAAGTACACAAAAATTGACAAGGATCCAACCTTTTTCTCCTCTAACTTGTTTGGGCCAAATATTTGGAGGCGCTGCTCCCCCTCCTCGGAGGACAAACCCTCTTTGCTGCATTTCAATAGCTCGAAGACTTCCTCGATTGGGATACGTTCCTGAAATTTAGCATGAACAAAAGTAAAACCCTTAGAAGTAATAATCCATGAGGAAAAGTTGAGAAGAATTTTTATTTTTATAAGATGTCATATAGATGCGGTTTAAATGCATCAACTAATATATAGGGAGAGTATGAGATCAGCCTGCTCCTAATTGGTGCAACAAATGTTCAATGGTCCAGATTGAATCTATGTCAATCCAATATTCATGATTGAATTTTATATTTGAATTTTAATATTTTTTTTTTACAAATCCAAATCACTTTAAATTTTGACTGTATATTCTTAAAAAAAGATGAATCTAATAAAAAAATTAAACAAATACTTCATAAAATTAAATAGACCAAAACATGTCTAAAAATTTTCAAGGGTATTTTAGTCAATTTAATTTTTACAAATAATTTTTTAAATTTTTTTATTAGGTGTGCCTTGATGAGAAGAGTGGAGGCCCCACATTTTATATAATTTGAATTTATATAAAAAATAAATTTTAAATATGAAATAAAATAGTGGCCTTTAGATCGGCCTAAATTCAATTTGGATCGTTGGACTTATACTATTCCATCAGCCCATGGGTTGACATGATCTTTGAGTCAAAAGAGACATACTATACTATAATATATAGCCATATACTTGGTCCTTTGAAAATTTTTAGTCAAGAGAGATGTAATATAATTTGACCATTTTGAGTCAAGAGAGGCATACTATAATATGTGAGATTGTATAATGAGACCGTTTACTTTTGATACAAAGAGGTCGCATTTAATTATAACCATCCGATATGAAATCTGATAGCTTGGGTGTGTTAGTTCTAGAGACTTTTGAAGTTTGAGTTTGGTCAATGAAATAAATGCAACCATCCAATTTCACATCCAATGGTCAAAATTAATTGTGACCACCTTATACTAAAGATAAATGATCTTAGTATATCCTTTCTCATAATATATAGCCATATAATTGGTGTACAACGAAACTCATTGGACTCGGCCAAATCTGGAAACATTGACAACATGCTTAGCAAGAAGTATCACGGTAGAAAAACAGGGGAAATTTTCTTTGACATGATTTTTGAAGCCAAAATGTTAGGGCATCCTAAGTTGTGGGTCTGGGGCTTTACGTTTATTATTATTATTATTACGACATGGTTTCTGTGAGTCCACGGACTCACATGTAGAAATGCAGGCCCTTTAATAATTTATTTTTGAAATAAAATGTAATCCTCATTTTTAGGGAATATATAATCTTCAGCATGTATGTTGTTAATATGTAAAAATAAATAAATTTTTAAAAATAGATATGATATTTTAGAGAAAATATTTGAATTGTTGATTTTATTCTTTTATGTGGAGCGATTATTTATGGTGTAGAACTACACTTTCTTTGATAGATGGCGTGATCTCAAAGCCCCTATAGTAACATGTGCGGGCTGGGACGCACCAAACAATTCTCCTCATTATGATTAGTATTATTAAAAGCGTAAATGCAAATAGCCGTTTTGCCATTGGAATGTTTAAGAGTGAGAGTGATAAAAAAGCAAGTGAGAGTGATAAAAAAAGCAAGGAAAAGAGAATATAGGTTGAGTGAGGTTGCTCACTCAAACTTCCATTTCTTGTCCACGACGAAATATTATTTATGACACCTTTTTACATAATATCGTATTCATTCTTTTCCAATATAAAAGACATGTATGCTGTTGTCATTATGTGTATTTCAGTGAAAAAAAAAGTTTATATAAGGTTAAACTTTTTTTTAAAAGGTAGAAATACGGATACACCTCAAAAATCTATTCGAGAAGGTTGTTTTAATATTGAAAAACCCTCTAATTAATCATCTCGATATCAAGATGTATGACTATGAAAGAAAAAAAGATTTTGAGTCCCAAAAATTGTGCATCTTACAACACATTATCTAGACAGTCTATTTTCAACATTTTCATATGTTTATAGATCTACTTGATTTTAACAATTTTTAAAGTTTTAAATTTCATAATTAGATAGAAAATTAGATTTTGAGATAATCTTAAGAATCTTTTAAATCAAAATTATATGTTATGATAAAATTTGAAGGTGAACCTTAATTGGATTGTTTAAAGTTGCAACCTTATGATAACCATACCCTTTTACAAAATAGATATACAAATTTTTTGTTCTCATGAAGTTATGTCCACAAGAGACCCCAGAGAATAAGACCTAGTATCGGTCCTAGTCTTGAGGCATCAATTTGGTAGGAATTATTCAATCTGTACCGTTTCAATTACATTTTATACGTAAAAATCGTTTTACATGTACCGCTCAATTTCAATGGATGATGCATATATACATCATCTTATTTGGGAAATGCGAAGTAGCAGTCGATATCCGATCCGATAAATGGTCCTTAAATTGATCATGAAAATGAAAATCAATGGGCGCTCCATAAATATGTGGTGTTGATAATTTCATCAGAAAATACAGTGAAAAATAGGAGAAAGTTGCTCTTGGAAAATAAGTTTGGGGTGGAATTGTCAAAGTTGGAATTCGTATTTGGGAGGAATGCGAAAAGTCTGGTGAAGCCGCCACAAAAGCTGACAAAAAATATCCAAATCATAAAAACTAGGAAGCAACAGTTCATGCAAGGAGAATGAATTCAATAAATCAACCATATATGAAAATTAGAAATGAAATAAAGCAACTATAAAAGAAAACAACTTATGAAGAAAATATAGATTTCGTAGAAGAAGAAAACTCATAAGGTTTGAGAGATGGGTTTCAACTGAAAATGCAAAAAAATGAAAAAAATAAAATTAAATAAAATAAAATAAAATAAAATAAAATAAAAAAAAATAAAAAAAAAAAAGAAAAGAAAAAGAAAAAAAAGTATAAGAGCATGTTCATTAAGAATCGGTGTAATTGGATCAACAAAAATGTAATTCTCGGGTCGAAAAGAACAATGATTGAATTCCTTGAGAAATTGAAGAAAAAAAAAAAAAATTCATGTACCCGACCTCAAATAATTAGGTTAAAGCTTGGATGATGATGGCGATAAAAAAAACCAATCTACTGTTGAAATCTCGTCTCGTCAAAGAGAAGAGATATTTTGGATCTTGACCGTTGAATCCAATTGAGGTGAAATGAAAGCTACCTGGATATTCAGCTCAAAATAGAAGCGCGTATAAAGATCGAGATGAGGAAATATTGTTTTTAAAAGATTACAAACTTACTTTCAAGTTTATGTTATTATATCTATACTCATTTTAAAACTAAAAGTTAAAGATGAGAATTAGAGAGAGAGAGATAGAGGACTTACAAGATCGATGGCCTCGTTCTTGATCTCTTCGAGACTGATAGCCTTCGAGTTGGCCATCTCTCTCACCTCCAAAGACAAAAATCTTCAGGCAGGGGTCGCCGGAAAAAGGCGATTCAAAAAACTCGCAGCGAAAACTCCCCTTAAAACATCACGAGTTTCTCTCTCTAACTTTCGCCAGAGAATCTTCTTTTTTTTCCGGGGCCTTCTTCACAAGAAGAAACAGAAGAAGAGAGATAAACTCTCTCTTTCTCTCTCTAAAAAGTCTATGTTTTCTCTCTCTAAGCCTCCATGGACCTTAAGCTCGTGCAGAAGACGAGCACCCAGCCCGCCCTCCCCCTCCTTTTAATACCGTTGCGAGGGAAATGACGAAAGTACCCCTGGCCCCACTCTTACGCTTGACGCGGCGGCGGGACGGGCTGGGTTTGTTTTCCGTTACCGAGCTCCTGCGGCTGGGAACGCACTGCGCTTCAGGCGTGGCCCCAACCGCCTCAGTCAACCTTCCCCCACGTTTTCTTCTTTTAACCTTACTACTTGCTACCTTTTTTATTTTAAAATTACCTTAATGCACCTTATTGATTTTACTACCGCTTTTTTATTTTAAATTTACTTTGATGTACCTTATTGATTGTCGATTTCAAACGACCAAAAAAAAAAAGGCTTATTCTATGCTCCCTCAGGATCATATTGTACATGTACTTCCTCTAGGGAAGATAGACTTGGGAAATGTTAATTTTAGAGACCATCCAAAAATCACTATTTTTATGTAAGGGTGCGGTTTGTATAGGGCTGAGGCTTTAAACAATTAAAATAAAGCGCACCTTCAAATAGTATCGAGAAATATGGTTTCAATACTGGAAATCTTTGTGAAAGCCTTAAAATATATTTCCATCTTTAACTATAAAATTTAAAGCTTAAAAAATAGTGCTATGAAAATTTGAAAATTTTGAAAAGTGACTGTCCAAAAATGCATTACAAGAGACACTATTTTCAAAACTTGAAATCTATTTTTTTTCTCATGTCCATGCATCTTGATGTCGAGATGACCAATTAGAAGATATTTGGGCATCAAAACAACCTATTCTTGTGAAATTTTTTTAGGTGGGTTCTAATTTGATTGTTTAGAGCCTCAGCTTTATATAAACTTTTCTCAAAATTTAAAGCTTAAAAAATAGTATAGATTGAGCACATCTATTACCAACTTAAAGTATTAAAAATTGATGATCCCAAAATGTATTACAAGATAAATTATTTCCAAGACTTAAAATCTATTTCTCTTTATATGGGTACATCTTGAGGGTGAGATGATCTAGATTTTTGGACATTGAAACAAACCTTTGCTAATAAATATTTGAGGTGCGTTTTAATTTGATTGTTTAGGGCCTCTCCTTTATATAAACATTTTTCTTATATAAGTATTTTTAGTTTGGGGTTGTGACATGGTTTCCACGGGAGTAAAGGAACTGTTTGCTCCCTCGGGCGCATGAAATCATTTGCCGCATAAACTTTGTCCTTTTACTATGCTACCCTTGGCAGATATGTCGGCGCATCCACCGTCTGTATTGATGAGGGGTGGTGGGGATTAACTGTTAGTCCCTGTAATGCCCCTGACATAGCTTGGAATTTCCTAAAGTGCCCCTAGAAGAGGTGCATAGCGATGTCGGACAGATTTGTGCATGAGTAAGAAAAGGGTCAGTTTGATTGGGGGCAACGTAATCTATTATTACATGAAATTTATGTTGCTCAAATTTGTACTATTATTTTTCTGGTAAATTATAAAAAAAATTCTTATATTTTTCAAAAAATACCAAAATTCAAAAAATAACCTTGGATGATGGTGCTCAAATTTTTTTGGGACTAGGCTTGGATGATGATGATCATTTTTTTTTTTTTAATAAAAAATTCTAAAATTTACATCCATTCCCAATTTTTCACGGTATTTTTTTTTACCATGATGATGATCCTTTTCTAATCAAAATTTTAAAAAATACAAAATTTCTAAAATTTACATCCATTCGCAATTTTTCGTTGTATTTTTTTACCCAAAATGCTTTTAACCGCCCTAATAGAGCCGTGATGCCCAATGTGCTTTTCCTTGAGCATCACAACCCTATTAGAGTAGGGATGGAAATCATTCAAGGCACCCAAAGGGTTACCTTGGTCATCACGGCCCTATAAGAGTTGGAGTGCACTTTAGGTGGGTTGTTTCTGGTTCTTAGATTTCCCACTTTTTTAACCTCTTCGTCCTTTACTACTACTTTTTTCTTTGGAGCTCTTTCACTTGATGATTTACTGGACTCTCGCCATCTAGGATGCAGTACTCAAGCACTTCACCTAGTAGTATCACGCGTGTATTGCTCTCCCACAACCCCATTTTCACAGTTTAGACTGCTCCCATTTCGCTCGCCGCTACTACGGGAATTGCTTTTGCTTTCTTTTCCTCTGGCTACTAAGATGTTTCCGTTCGCCAGGTTGTCTCGTGCCTGCCCATGGATTCAGCAGCAGTTCGAAAGGTTGACCCATTCAGGAATATCCGAATCTATGCATATTTTCAACTCCCCTAAGCATTTCGTCGTTTGCTATGCTCTTCCTCGTCTCTGGGTGCCTAGGTATCCACCGTAAGCCTTTTCTTGTTTGAATGAACGAATAAATCAACGTCCATGAATGAATGATAAATCATAGATCGAATTGCCGAATTGGAAAAAATGGGTGCTATCATATACCTTTGTATGGGCTAAGATCACGAGCTGGAGATAAGCGGGCTCGAACCGACATCCGCCACCCCTTTTGCTCTTTTTTCTCCTAATTCTCATTTGGTTGATCTTCTAGATCATACTATTTAATCACTAGTTGAGTGCCTACACCCTCCTATATACTGCCATACTTTTTTTTTTTTTTCTTTCGAGCATCGTTCAACGTAGGTCGTGTGCGGCCCCAACCCTACCTGTGAGGTGATTGCAGTAGGGACGGCATTTTAAAGGGGGTATATGTATGAGAAACTTGAGGTTATTCTTATGGATGTCTTTATAAGCTATTTATGCAGCTTAGTTGGTATCTTTGGTGGTTGGTGGTTTAGGATAGTTGGTGGTTTAGGATCATTTGCTTACTAACCAAATCCAGTCACATGCTATACTAGTGTCCTATGAGTGGTAAGTTTTACACTAAAATTCTATTGAAATCCATGATCCAATCTTTCTCTAAACCAAAACTTTGTAAACCCAAAATCCAAACTCGCTCTCTCTTTCTAAGCCAAAATTGGTTCCAAACCTAGAATATGAACTCCCTCTCTCTATACCAGAGAATAATTCCTCACAGCTTCTTCCCTTTCTGAATTTCTTGCCTTTCTCAATTAGAACAAGCAGTGAAGCTTCTCTATGTAAACTGACTTTCTCTCTCTAAACCAATTTTTTCTCTCCACCAAGAACACATTTATCTCTCCTCTAAGGATGGATTGTATTTATCTCAAGCCCTGGATCATGAAACCCTTGGTATTGTGCATGCCGGGCCGGGGTGCAGAAGGGAGACCAAAGACGACACAGTGGAGAGAGGAAAAGATTAAAAACCATACAAGAGAGAGAGAGAGAGGAGGCAAAGGCATTGGTCTCATGGCCCCTGCTGCACAAGTTAATAAATATTAAATATTTATGGAAAAATTATATTCTATTGTGCTAATTTTTTTTTTTATCCCCAACATTGCTACTTAAATGGAAAATTTGGGTGGAAATATGAATTTATGAAAGAGATCTTGTGAGCGAATATTGGAGATGGATGATGGGGGTGGCAATCAGTAGAGCTTGGGCCATGGCAGGCCAGACCTACCCACAATATTAAGAGTTACATAATGTTGAATGACAAAATTTAAAAAGTAGATTAAGGATACAGTAAAATTTCCGAATTTCCTAGAGAAGGCAATCCAAACAATGAACATGAATATTCCAAATCTCTTACCTGCTGCTATCCAAACAACGGACACCCATAGTCCAAGATATGTGAACTCCAGGAGATATCAATTTTGTATCTCTCAGTGTTTGAAAACCCGTCCGGTCAGAATCGGAACTGGAACCGGTCGGTTAGCTCACTACCGGTAGGGTGGCGATTTCGGTTAGGTCCGGTTTTAGTGTACTAGTAAAAAAATACATCGTCCTGAAAAAAATCGGCTAAAAAACCGGCCGGTTTGGCCTTGAACAGGCGAATTTTTGATAAAATCTGTCTGATTTGGCATTATATCGGGTGATATAACAAAATAACGGCGCCAGAGCAAATAACGGGCCTTATTTGTAACAGTGCCCGTTATTTGGGCAGAACCCGTGATCCGCCATTTTTTTGTAGCTTTTTTATGCTTTTTTCTGCTGTTTTTTTGTTTTTTTTGGCTCAATTATTGTACTATACCTTCAAATCTTCTATAAATCCATCAATATTGAATAAAAAACTCCAAGATTTGATCGATTTTGGCGAATTTTTAGTTCGTTATTTGGTGTTCTTCAGTTTTTTATGAAAAATCCGTCATTCGTTTGATTTTGGCCTGGTTCCTTAGTTTTTTTCGATAAAAAGTTGGGGATTTTAATGATCACTGAGATACATCTATTTCAAGACTCCTGATTTCATTGAAATGGAGAGATTTGGGGCTCGATTTTGAGATTGAAGCAGACAAGATAAGCCCGAACCCAAATTTTTTAAATTTTTTTCTTAATTTTACAGCTTTTTTAGGATTTTTCAGACAATATTTGAACAATATTATTTATTGTAATAAATAAAAGATCGATTTTTTAACCAAAAAAAGAAATTTAGAGCTCGATTTTAGGAATTTAGGGTATTTTTGGAGCTTGATTTTTGGAATTTATTTGGAGCTCGATTTTAGGAAATTTAGGGTTTTTTTGTTTTAATGTTATATAATATATATATTTATAAAAATATATTTTTTGTAATGAATATGAGAATATATATACACAATATTTGTGTGAGATTATTGATTTCGTAAAATAAATGAACGAATTTTAGAACAAAAACAAAAATTTGGAGGTCAATTTTGGGGATTTTAGGGTTTATTGAATGAAAAATAAAATTAATATTTTTTTTTGTGAAGATTGTTTTTAATGTTGTATAATATATATATTTATAAAAATATGTTTTTTGTGATGAATATGAGAATATATATAAACAATAGTTGTGTGAGATTATTGATTGCATAAAATAAATGAACGAATTTTAGAATAAAAATAAAAATTTGGTGGTCATTTTTGGGGATTTTGGGGATTTTGGGGATTTTAGGGTTTATTGAATGAAAAATAAAATTAATATATTTTTTGTGAAGATTGT